GGCCTCGTTTCGCTTCGACGGCTTTCAGCCTCACCCTGCTTCATTCTACTACATAAATAAATCATTAACTCATCCATGAATATGATTTCTGCCTGAGTCCCGTCGGATTGCATTGGCTGTGGGGATGAAGACGACAACTCCCATGATTCCACACTCTGTCACGGCATCATCAAACTACGCCTTTGTTTCTTTGTTTGTTTTGAATACACGCCCTCTAGCTGTGAAAACTTACATATTGTGCCTTTAATGCACCACATATCTGTTTTGCAGAAGTAATTTTGCCTACTTGCTGGTACATACAGCATTCTTCCTCTTTTTTTCCCCTCAGTCAGATTAAGTATCTGTGCCTCTAGTCCCTGTCGTAATGGAGGCTCTTGCAAAGAAGAAGCTGACAGCTACCGATGTGACTGTCCCTACCATTTCACAGGGAAACACTGTGAAGTGGGTATGTGTTTAGTGTCAAGACAATTTTCTTGCAATATGTGGTTTTCTGGTGTGAATATAATTGTGTGGGAAATTTTGATGATGTTGTTTAAAGAGTCATATTAGTTTGATAAGCATAAAGGCCCTTTCATACCAAACATGTTACATGGGAAAATTTTGAATAGGAACAATGTATTTGTATTGAGTGATTCAAACCAGTTATACATTTGCCTGACAACAAAGCAGTGTTGTTGTTTTTTTGGTCGATGAATTTTTCTTCGTCCAACTATGAAATGTTCCAGAGTTTTGGATCAAGTGTCTAGTACCACTGCAGAAGCAATATCAGAGCATTAAGTAGTGCTAATGTGATGTTGCCAGTTTTTACAGTTTGTTGTTTGATGTTCTCATATATATATATTATTTTTATAGTTTTTTGTTTGATTTTCTCATATATATATATATATATATATATACATACAGTATATCTTATATATATATATATATATATATATATATAGTTCTCTTTGTAAAGCATTTTTACAACATGAAAACAAGATTTGTCAAGTGATTAAAATAATAGCAATTACTGTAGTTAAACAAAAGTACTATGATGTAGTACAGACTTGTATAAGAAAAAATGTGTAAAAGCCGGTTTCGCAAAATGATTGGTTTAATTTATACTTTTAGTAAAATGTACGTTCATGTTGCACCCTCTATTGTAGGGGCATGAATTTGCTTTTTCTTCAGCCTGGTGCATATTCCTTTGACTTTTGGTTTGGAATGTCTATTTGTCTGCGATTCGCTTAGCTTTTCGTGTTTTGTTTGCCATGAAAGGGCTTTAAGTGTGCAATGTTAAATTCTCAGCCAGCAGTGAGCACCCAGGGGATGTTACAGTTCTTAGTCACCCTTCCTCTCCTCTTTTCTGGTCAAATGGAAGAAGAGTGTAATCTACTTTTCTTCATGTTTGGAAAATGCCATTTCCGCACACACAGAGTTTCATAATACTGCACAAAGAAAAAATCTCTGGATTTTCATTATCAACTTTGTCCTACATTAGAGTTGTGCAACTGTTTGGCCTTGTGTAATGATCCAATTTGCTGGAGTTTTTTCAACAATTGGATTCCTCACATGTAGGAAAAACAAATTGCCCTGGCACATGCATGAAAAGCTGTTTCTCTTTCTCAGTGCTACTGTAATGATCAATGATTTCTCACACATGTTGACCTCGTTTTGACACGCACATGGCCATGCTTTCTTTCACAAATAAATATGCAAGTGCACACTATGTGCACACGTGTACACAGAACTGTACAACTGTTTTAAAATATCTAATGCTTTATGTTTAGGAAAGCCAGATCCTTGTGCCTCCAGTCCCTGTCTGAATGGGGGAACATGTTTCCACTACATTGGTAAATACAAATGTGAGTGCTCCCCATCCTTCATAGGAAGACACTGCGAGATCAACAGAGGATCCAATCCGGCATTAGAGGGTAATCAAACTCTGTTTTACCTCCGAAGTACACTGAGCACAACAGGAATCAGGAGCTCACACAGCTTTGCGGTAGTCAATATTCATTCATTTAGGTGTAACTGATATGCATGTTAGGAGGAGAAAAGCAGTCGTCAATCTTCATTCAGATGATGCCAGGACGAAGCAGCAGGTGCCAGTTCCTGCAGTAAAGCTGGGTTGTGTGTCACCTCCCCAGAGGTGAAGCTGCATAAAGTCCTCAGCGCATTTGATACTCTCTCCCTGAACAGAGGTTATAACTCTGCTGTTACAGGCCTCCGTGTTACTGTTGATTCTACAAGGTTTTCCACAAGGTGCGGTTAAATTTGTGTCCTGCTGTTCCATGATAGGATGAAATACCATCACCTAAAACATTTCACAAAAAGGATGCTTTTACAGCTTCTCTCTATTTATGAATCTGCTCGTGGCTGTAAATGTGGCCATGTGTATTAAGTAAATTGAAACTGGTTGGTTCTTTATGTTTTCAGGAAAAGCAGTAAGCATCTACAAGAGACACAGGAAAACAGACCAAGAAGGCAAGAGTTTCCTATTGCTGACACATCTGTAAAAATATGAATACAATAATAATAATAAAAAAGATTTTTTTTTTTTTTTTTTTTAGAAAGAAACAAATATCTGTTGCTGCCACTGCTCATTTTGTTTTAGAGTGTTTCTGACATTCTTTTTTGCAGTGTAGGGCTTTGTCACTGCGTTTGCACTTTAAGTGTTCTAATTAAATTAAATGAAATTCTTCAGCCTTAGTTGGATGAATTTTTTTCTCTCGGTTAGAATTGTTTGTGTGTTTCTGTGTATTTTGTTTGTTTTTTAAATAGCAAATAGCTTATACATTTATTTTAGTATCTAATATCAAAGTAACATTCATAAATATGATGTCATAATTTATCAGAAATAAGTCTTAAAATTGTTTAACAAACCTGACTCATTGCCAACAGTCTGTTTGTTTATATTATTTGTCATAACTATTATAATTATTTCTAACAAGCCTGAGTCATTGTAAACTATATAAAACAACACTGGCATATTGAAAATTACTTTCATGCACACCGTTTGTGCACACTGCAGGTCTGGACTGTGGCTCCCCTGTGAAAGTCAAGCACGCAGAGGTGCAGTATTCCTCCACTACTCCAGGCTCCATGGCTTCGTATGTATGCCACCCAGGCTACACTCCCCTTCCGAGGGCCACCCAGAGCATCTGCAGCAGCCAGGGGTCCTGGAGCCAGCCTCCAGTCTGTGAAGGTTAGTGGAGATTCAAAACCCTTGTTGTTCAAAGTTTACCCAAGACAGTCCTGCCCTGAAACCAACATTCCAAAATGGTCGGTTGGTTTGGAATGCTGGGAAGAAGAGCTGATGAGCCTACAAAATGTCAAACGAGTAGAAACACTCTAAAACAAATTGTAGTTTGAAACCAACATAAAGTTTGTATAGCCTGTCAGGGTGCTAACAGAAAGTAGTCAGGCCTTGGTATACAGTTCAGAATTTTTAAACACAAAACAATTCTGCGGTCTCTCTGTAGGACATAAAGCATGATGCTGCTCTGGCAACATGAGCTACTACATCATTTGTATCACATGAAATAAACAGGCCAAGTACACAGTGAGACAAGGACCTGGATTTCTATTCATCTTGAGAACTGTTGTTAATGGACTTGCATGAATCTTGATTCATACACCAAACCATCAGGCTCTACAATAAGCGCTTCCTGATCAACAACATGCAGTATTATGCCTTGAACACAAAATGTGTCTATTTATGTAGCGTGTGTGCTGTGTGTGCTTCAGGTTTTGTTTATGTGTGTGTGTGTGTTTTCAGGTTTTGTTAAATGCTTCCCTGGTCCATAAACCTGATGGAGTCTGCAAGACACCTACTAGGTCGGCTTGGAAAAAGGCCGTACACTCAGTCTCCATGTAACCTGAATGGGGAAAAACTGCAGTGGCCAGATGTGCAAATCTGATGTTATTCACACAGACTCGAGGCTGTAATTGCTGCCAAAGGTGCATCTGCTAAACTCAAACACTTGAATACTTGTGCAAAACATTAGTTTGTGTGTAATAACTGTAATAACCAATCTGTAAAAAAAAAAAAAAATGTCTGTCAAATTTGTCTGTTGATCAGTGTCAAAAAAATCCCAGTTAAACTGTCTGTGACACTGTAAAACATCAAAATTGTGTTTGTTGAGCCTTGATTCCCAACTCATTTTCCAGCTTGTATCTGCAACTGTTTTTGTCATTCTGCATAATCTGCTTTCCCCTTTATTCTGACTTACAGTACATCTGATTTGATACACAAAACACGTCACACCTACTTTATCTCCTACAAACAGCCCACCTCTCAGAATGAAGGATTTTCCATCTTATGATACAGATGTGTGTTTGTTCTGCAGAACAGGATGGATGTGAGCCAAATCCTTGCTTGAATGGAGGTGTATGCCGAGGCTACAGGAGAAACCACCTGTGTGTGTGTAAAGAAGGTTATGTTGGAGACCGCTGTCAGACATGTATGTTAACCATTATTAAATATTACTCCTGAAAAAGTGCACAATACATCACAAATAAACAAGAAGTATTACAACTACAGTTGACGTTGTTGCTAAAACTGAATTACTTGTTTTTATATTGTTTGTCTATTTTTTTTAAGATTACCTGGTGTTGCTATACTTAAAAAAAAAAAAATAATAATAATAATAATAATAGACCTGGTGAAGCTATTTGGTCAGGCCCTCCTACGTGCAGAAGCATTTGAAACTATGGGGGAAAAAAGTTGCCTCTGACAAAAATAAGTCTGCCTTCTGCTATGTTAAACTGATCTGAATTCATCAAAATCCTCACAAACGTAAAATATTTTTCTTGATGTGAATACAATTAAAATTGTCAGTGAAATCTGTGTACCCTTCCACTTTCTGGAAGTCTGAGGTCGTTATATTAGTTCTGTACCTGTCAGATATGCAAGGTCTCATCTGGTCCTCTGTTGCCGTCTAGTGGAGAACCCGTGTGTCCTGCAGCCGTGCGGAAACCGAGGCGTCTGTTGGAGTGATAGAAGGGGGAACTACAGCTGCGCCTGCAGGGTGGGCCACACAGGGAGAGACTGTGAGAGAGGTCAGCTCCTGATCTTCCATTATTCAAAATCAACCCATATCCATTCATTTTATTTAAGTGTAGACTATTTAGAAAGTAACTAGAATGGAATTCAGAGTTTGTGTGTTTTTACTTGCAAAGTGATTTGTTAAATTGCTTCCAGGGAAGTTATTAATTATTCAGAGACATGGGAAGTTTGTTACTTGTTACAAACTTAAAATATATGCATTCTTTGGTCTGTATTTGGTATGTATGTATTGTGTTCATAACAAATGAAATTTCCTTTCATAGTTTAGAGAAATGGTTTTCATCCTTTTTAATTCCAAGCATTAATTCCCCATTGTCCACAAGAATAATTGAAGAGCCCCCATGTAGGCTAATAGGTTTCCACATATTACATTAAGTAACTAAAATAATTAATTTTAAAAATTTCATAATTACAAAAGTTTTAATAGCTGAATGTTCTTCAGGGATCCCACTTATTTAACCAATGAATTTACATGATGTTTCCAGTTGTTTATGATTCATTGTTTGAGTGATTTATTTATTTTACTCACAATTTCTACTCGATAAAATATTTTATAGCTGTGCATAGCTAGAAAAATGTAAATGCTTTCATAAAATCTTAAAACACCATGGGTAAAATAACTTTTAAAATTAAGCTACCTCATACTTCAAAGAAAAAAAAATCCTGTTGAGGGGGTGAATTAAAATAAGAAATATGTTTATTTTAGTTGTTTTAACTAACATAAATGCTTGTTTTTATTTTAAATCATTTTAAGACATCTTGGGGCCACATTGGAAGTTTGCTGAGGTCCCCTAGCGGGCCGCAGCCCACTAGTTAAGAATCACTGGTTTAGAGGGTAATTGAGTTATTTATAGCTAATACTTTCACTGTTCCCAGACCTGTTGCCTCCATCTGGCCTGCATGTGTTGCGGGTAGAAGAAAATGAAGTTGAGTTACGATGGGATCAGTCAGATGCCACTCAGAATTTAATCAGCGGCTTTGCAGTTGCCTTTGCTCCTATTGGTCGTGGACCGAGGAAGACAGACTACTTGGAAAAGCAGCATTCTACCTATGTACTACAGGGCCTGAACCCCGGACAGCTTTACAACATCTCCACCTTCTCCGTCAAACGCAACACCAACAGCAATGACATAAGCCAGCCAGCTTTCGCTCTCATCCGCACTAGTGAGAGCTCCCAATTTTTTTTCTGTACCTACATGGTGATTATGTCATATCCTGTTTCCTTAGCACAGTGTGTTTATTTGTTTTGGTCCTTATTATTTTTCTAAATTTGTACACAATAATAGTGCTAAACTAACATGTACATGTAGAGTATTCACTCACATACTCTTCTCCTGCTCTGTCTCAGGGCCACATAAGGTGGAACAGCTGGAGGTAGTGAATGTGTCGTCCTCTCAGGTTTGGCTGCGGTGGCTGGTGCATGTTGGCCACCATGCTGCGGTCAGTCAGGTCCGGGTGTCCCTGGTGCCTGCAGATGGTAGTGGACCTCGCACAGCTGTGCTCAATAGCAGCGTCACAGAGTACACATTTAGGTCAGTCATGACACCGAACAAGGTCAGCGCATACACGCAGAAAAAGAAAACACAAGTCTGCATAGTCTTAAGAGAATGATCTTGTAATTTGCCCATCTAGTCTAGGCTTCAAGTGCAGTCAGAAATGTCATATTCACAAGTTCATATTCACATAATTATAAATAACCGTGCAGCCAAATAATGTGTCATAATAATGAATCTCTGGACCTAAAAGTAGGAGTTTCCGAAAGTGCACTTGAAGGCAGCATGTGTAAAGTGGCTACCAACACATTATAACACATGAAAATGTGAATCTTTAAACATTTGCACAATGGGTGACAATCTTCTGTCTTGTAAGAACGTTTGCCTGCAATACACGTATTAGCCATTAGATGGCCACAATAACGTCTAATGCTTATCTGTATTTTTCGGGGCAGAATAATAGTAAAGAAATGCACAGCTCAAAATAATTTAAATATACTCTTTAAAAAGTGTTCACGAAATGTGAGTACATGATGACAGAATTTTTGGTTGAACTTAACTAGACAACATTTAATGAGCTTGTAATTACTTACCACAGAACGGAATAAAACTATCATCAGTTCCACTCTTACGTTAACGTGGAAGAGTGGTGTTTTCTTTAAAAAAAAAATAAAATAAAAATAAATAAATAAATAACAGTTAAATTTATTCCTTTCTTGGTGCGAGTCGGTTCTGCAGTGATAACATTTTAATTGTGCCAGAGCAGCATGTCAGTTTTGGCGGCAGTTTGAAAAAAAAACACAAAAAAAAACAATCACCTTTTCTATTTTGTAAATGCATGTGAGAGCTCCTCTGTGAACGATTCATCCATGTATCATTTTTAAAGTTTAAAGATTTAAAGAATAATAGTATTATGAATAGGCAAATTATTAACATTTAGTAGGCCTATTTAACATATTGGTTCAATGTGAAATGTTGACAACGTTCTTTTCATAAGTTCAGCTTTAATGAAATAGTTTGCCCGAAAATGAAAATTCTCATCATCTAGCCTACCTGGCTGTGACAAATAAGATAAATATTTTTATTTTTATTCTTCTCTTTTTTAGGTACATAACCCTAAATGATGTAAGAAAAAAATATAATGCAGGGTTTTTTTTTTTGTTTTTTTTTACCAAAACCGATATTAAAGTTTTCTTTTAGCCAAAAAACACAACCAAAAATAAAGTTTCAGTAATTAAATATGTGTAATTGAACTCTTCAGGGTGCCATGTTCTCAGGTGATACAGACCTTAGTCAGGTTAGACACCATATTGAATTTAGCGTGGATCAAAAACAAGGCTATAAGGAATAGACAGTCTTTGCAATGGCACTTCAATCCCTCACAGCCTCATTTTCATTCCTGTCAAAATTAAATAGGGCGCTACTCTTGACTAAGGTCTATTAAACCAATCATAGTAAATTTCTTTTGCAACCAGCCGCCTCTTGAGATTTCAGGCGAAGTAATTTTACATAGGCTAACATCATTTTTGGTCATGACGAAGTGTGTACACCCTGCTGACATGTTTACCTGTTGTAGTTTATACACGTGTGTGCACGTCACTATTTAAGCCAATGATTTCAACCTTCCAAAATAAATTCTGAATTAGAATTTTTGATGTTTCTCATTTCTGAAATTTTGGTGCATCACTACATACGATTATACATATTGATACAATATTCTGAGATCACATAAAGGTTTAAAATATGCAAATGAAAAACACATATTTTACTGATTAGTTGTGTGTAACCCACAGCACATTGCTCCCAGGTCAGATGTACACAGTAGATGTAGTCACGCAGAGTGGTTTGCGCCCTGAAGACCTACCATCAACTAGCAAATCTGCTGGGCCACTGCACTTCTGGACCAGTGAGTATCTCTTCAGCTCTGAGTTACGAACACATGCACCTCTGTAGTAAGTAACAGCACATTATATTGTTCTCTCCATCAGGACCGCTTCCACCTCAGAACCTTTCACTCTCCCACATCACCACCACCTCTGCTCGGGTCACATGGGACCATCATCCTCGGAGTCTTCCAGATGGTTTTGTGGTCAATATTACTCAAGGCCTGAGCACCCGTAGCCGCTACCTACCTGATGGAAGTTTAGGGACTTATACACTACGAGACCTCAATCCAGGACAGCATTACCGTCTTGCCCTCACTGCTGTACGCAAAATGGGCCAGGACAACATTCAGAGCATCCCTCAACACCTAGCCTTCACCACACGTGAGTCGCCGATATTTAAGATGACTGCTTGTCTGCAGATTGTCAAGATGTCTTTGTCATTGTGACACGTCTGTGTATCCTGTATTGCACAGTACCAGTTCCAAAGGGCCAAAGCAGCGGTGACAGACTTAAGGGAGGACAGGACTACCAGACAGGACAGACCTTGACACAAGTTCAAGATGGAGGCACAGATGACCACACAGAACTCCTTGAAGAGCCCCAAAGGTATAGTACTGTATAAATGCAACAATGCAATTATAGATGCTATGCTGGGAAGACATGCGTAGAATAATGAGTTCTGTGTGTTTGTTTTCTCTTTCAGATATACAGAGCTTATTGACAGAAGAGGGAGAATTACAGCTAAATTTACCAACCTTCCACATAAAACCATCAGACACCACACAAGTCAGTAATTATTTCATATATAATGGTAATGCATTATGAATTTTAAGTTATGTTTTAAATCATTTTAGATGAACAAATCGGTAAAAATAAATGTGTGTTTTATTCAAAAAGTTTTTAAAGTGGGAAACCACTTTAGGGTTGTCAAAGCTAACATTTTAACTGAGGATAATAAACAATAATTTTTAGAACATTTGCCACATTTTATATTATAAATATTATTATTATTCATTCTCCTAAAGACAGAAATCAATTAGATTAATTGTGATTATTTTCATTAGTTTTAAAGGTGACATATCATGAAAATCTGACTTTTCCAGGTTTTAAGTGCTATAATCAGGTGCATCTACCAACCAAGGAAACGTGAAAAAGATTAACCCAGTAACTTTGTTTTGGGAAGCCTTTTTCTGCAAGCGTCTGAGAAAACGAGCGCGTCTGATTTCGCTCCCTTGGTGACGTTGCAAAGGGATCTCATTATAATATTACCGCCCCTTAATCTGTAAATTTACACCCACGGCGCCATTATTGTGTTTTCGCAAGTGACAACGGTGTACCAGCTCTAATGCCATGGCGAAAGTTTGAGTAAAGCATGCTAACTGTTCTGCCTTTGGCTGCACAGACGAGCACAGGACACTATTTAGAGTCCCAGCCTCAGAGGAGACAAGAGAGCAGTGGATTTATTGATTTATTTAATGTATATTGCTGCTGATACACAGATCTAAAATAAACATGCGAAACATGTTTACCTTCACAGACATAACCGACTGTTTTTGTAACGTATGTGTGTTTTTAACCTAAACTTGTGTGTGAATGAGAACTTAGTTTAGTACTCACATGCTGTGACAGCCGCTTTCTGTCCGTGTGCTTCGGATGTGTGCTCTCAGAAAACGTATATCAGAAGTTAAACTCATATGGTTTAAAACTCATGATTTCAGCGTGATAAACATGATAATCAGAACCATAACAGATTTTTTTAGGAGGTCCGAGCTGTAATGGCGCAGCTCTATTCTGGAAAAAGGGGTGGGGAGCAGCAGTCATTTGCATTTAAAGAGACCGGCCCAAAAACAGCGTGTTTCTGCTTCCTCTCAAAATAGACATTTTCAAAATGATATAATAAATTATCTGTGGAGTATTTTGAGCTGAAACTTCACAGACACATTCTGGGGACACCAGAGACTTATATTACATATTGTAAAAAGGGGCATAATATGTCTCCTTTAATGTTACTGAATGTGTGTATAGGATACACTGTTAACCTTACAAAGTAATTATTTTTCAGAAAATATTTTAATAATTTGATGTGGTTTTAGTAGCCTACAATGTACTTCAAAATGAAAGTCAATAAGCAGCTTAAAGCAACATAATATGGTATTAACAGTATTATGCTTAACATTTTTTATAAAGCGTAAATGGGTCACTATATATGAGAATACTGTATAAAACGGTCTTGATATTTTATGAAGGGGTCCCTTGCATAAACAATTTTAAAACCTTTAAATTTAGTTTTTATTTAACTTGATTTTTAAATTTCTGCCATTGTCTCTTTTAAACAGAGCCTGACCCTCCAATCAAATTAGAAAGGATGGAAGAAACCACCAATAAGATTAGTCTAGCTCTGGAAATTCCTGAAGAAGCGACAACGAGTAAATCTGGTAGGTGATCTTTCAATAAAACTCCATAAAGTTCGTTATTAGACAAGTGAAAATTGTTGATTAACTTTAGACAGGGAGTTCGTGGTTCTTAAAACAGGAGAATGTTTTAACAGTTGGTGGTATTCAAACTCTCTAATTGGTCCCAGCTGAGAGAGAGACTGTGGCAAAATACCACTGCGTGTATTCTGAATAGTCTTCAGCATGACAGTCACCATAAACAAACCACATCTATCAGCAATCTGTTATGGTTTCAGCCCCCCCCAAAAACGTCACTTATGGCTGTTTAAAAAAATCATATTTATGTGCATGTGATTTTGATTGTGTATTTGAAAGAGCAGCTAAATAAACCCATGAAAAAGCTGCAAGCTCGCCAATGTTTAAACTCATCATGTAGCAAAGCATTGTGTTTATGTGTTTGTATCCAAAAATTGCATTACATTTCAGAGTCATCCCAAGATTGCAGAACTCAGCCCTGCCAGAATGGTGGAACATGTGCACAGATCAACGAATCGTTCAGCTGCAACTGTGCCGCTGGTTTCAAGGGCAGACAGTGTGAGCTATGTTAGTATAACCACTTCTGTTCATTCACAAGCATACAAACACACACCAATGAATCCCTAATAAATGCCGAACTGAAGAATTTAACTTGAGTTTATTTATTATTATTTTAGTTTATTATTATCCCACCACCTAGACTCCAGAATCTGTATTTCACCAAAGTCATTTTAAAAGCATCAGACTGAAAAAAAGCTAATTTTATATCATTTCACAAAATGAAAAATAATACAATATTTAGTAGCTTTGCCTGTAATAAGATCTTTAGTCAATTCTAGCTTTTGTGTATTTTCTTTCTCTGCCCTGTTGTATACAGATTGTCAGCGAGTACCTCACCCATGTACTCGCCTTTACTCCGAAACAAAGAGTGTGCCTGTGTGGGAGGATGGTGTCTGCCATTATTTGTAAGTGTCTGCTGTCTGGACATGTCTATTGTCCTGTTTGGGTCCAGTCTAATCCAATAGTTGTATCTCTTTTTGCTGAGTACCTATTTTCACCCTCAGGTACAAAAGGACATATAAAGTTCAGCAGGATGTTTGTTTTAGAGAGATATGTGAGCCTTTGCTGCCTAAGAAAGTACTGCCCAAGACTCCAAGTACGTATAATGTATAAAACATTATACACAGTTTTTCCTGGTTCCATTGTAAAGTAGACGTAAACATGTGGTGGAAAGTGACTTTGTTAATATGCACAATTTAAATCATGGCATGGAGCTGATAGATGGCAGTATTAATGCTGTGTATATGAATTAAACAACCTTTTTTTCCCTCTCTCTCATCAGACAGAAGAACTCAAAAACAACAACAATAGTGGCGAGTATATTTTATATCTCTGATAGAAGTGGACAAAAACATATCGTCACATACTGAATGTGTTTTTTTTTTCTGTTTTAGGAGACTGAATCAATGACAGCTTTGGGGAGTAATTGCTTCTCTTAGTCTTAGTTTAAATGAGGATGCATTACCATCATTGTTGACCCTTTTTTTTGCATCACTGGTCACCTTTTATTGGCTACATTGTCCTATGGATGTATATTTGTTCATTTACAACTCCAGATCTGTAGATGAGCTTGACCATATGATTTAGGATTTATCTGCATCAAATAGCATACCTCAAATGTAAATATTATGTGATATTGACATGTAGTGGTCGTCAAGTCCCTCAGGGAATTTTTTTGAATTGTTGCCTGTTCAGTCTCCAAAACCTACAAGTATTCAAACCTGGTTCTCTCCTACAGCAAGATCACACAAAATACTGGAAAAAATGTCATACCATTGTTTCTGTTTGTGTTACAGAAAACTGTCTGCTAACTACCATGTAAATAGTGTTTATAGTCTGTTTTTGTAGTTGAGTATTTTAATAATAAAAATGTTAAAACTTCATGGTCTCTTCATTTTTTCAGGAAAAATAAAGCTTCGGTGGGAGGGGGTAATATGAAACATGTATAGAAATATGTAAGGATTTTTAACTGATAAACCTTATTGGTGGGCATTCTTATCCAGAAAACAGATTTTGAGTTTTAGGACAAACAACCGATGAGGCTATGCTAGACCCTAAATTACCACAAGGTGTCGCTATTTTGTAAAATAAATAAAATGCTAAGAATCTTCCTTTTATCAAGCAAAATTTCCTGAGACTGTTTGTCTGGCTTTGTGCAATATGTAGTTATGGATCTTGCCCACTAAACTGCAAGTCTACAGTCCCAGGTAAGTGGTGACACAGAAAGTAGATGGCTACGGATATCAATTTCCTGCTCTAACTTCATTGTGCCTATTAAGAAAGCACTTAAACCAAGGATTGGACTGCAGTTAGTGCATTTATGCCATTAGATTAGATTGGATTCAGCTTTATTGTAATTGTGCAAAGTATAACTACAAAGCCAATGAAATTATACCTTTTCAAAAGGTGCACTTTTGTAACGTTTAAGTACTAATATTTGCATATGTGCAAGTACCAATAGGGACCCTTTAGGTACAAATGTGTAGCTTTTTTTTTACTGCCCCAAGTGACAGCTTTTGAACCTTTTTTTCTGCAGAAATGCAAATAGCAATATGTCTATAGATATATTTATATACAAAATACTATCATGTTCTCTAAAAAAGTGCATAAGTATAAGTTTGAGAAAGCAGAGACCAGCTCAGTGCAAGAGACAAGGTGTCCAAAGATAACTAAATCTTAGAAATTATAACTGGGATAAAGTCTATAATGAGCTTTATGATGGTTTCTTTGCATATTACAAACAACTATTTGCAATTTAAGGAAACAAACTGATACAAAGGTTCTTGTACATCCATCAAAGATTTATCAAATATTCATTCTTAGTGATATCATTAGAGACATATAGTCATAAAATAAAAATCAACCTTAATAATTAAAGTTTTTAATGTGATATTATTATTAATTTCAGATATATTATGTCTGAGATGATATCTTCAGTCTTTTTCAGGTCACAGATCCCTCATTGTATATTCAATAAGAACTATTTTAATATAGACTTCATTACATACATTTTTAT